AAAAAAAAAATGAATTCTAATACCCCTGTAGTTGTGTCAACAAATTGTGGTCTACATTGGCAAACAATAACTCGGGGTATGATCAAATTCCAAGTTTTAACTTCCCGACCCGAAGGAGGAAGTTATTGTAATGACCCCGAAAATCGATTGTGGATATTTCATGATTTCTCCACATTTCATGACCCCTAGAAACTCTCACGACACTTTTCAGAGACCGGTCTGTCTGTGTGGATGTGTGTGTATGTGACTAAAATTTTGGGCTACGATTTTTTTCGAACAAACGATGCGATGCAATGATTTTTCACGCAATCCATGTGTTTTCATGTAACTTAGAACTGCTTAGATTCTGAACATCACCTCAGCGATTCTTTAGATTTTGCAATAAAACTTGTGAAAAAACGCAAAAAAATTAATTTTTTTTACAAATTTGGTGCAACTTTGTATGATTAAGACTGGAGTGAAATTCAGCAAAATCGTCTCAGCGGTTTCGGAGTAATTCGAACATAATTTTTTTTAATTTGAAACTTTTCAAAGATTTTTCTATATAGGTCGATTTTTTTCATTATTATTTTTCTTTCAGTCTATTTTTCTATTTTTTTCATTAAGAAAATCAAACAAAAAAACTGGGAAAATTTGAGCCGAGGAAATTCAATGGAAAATATCTCAATAGAATAAGTTGTATAGAAAAATGCAATTCTAATGAATGAAGGAAAGGCAATAATTGCTCGGAAAGTTATTGGTTCGACCGTAATGTTACACCCACTCCAATCCACCCGCAATAAGAGCGAGCGAAACGAGCGACCAATAACCCGGTTGAATTTTTGGAGTAGAGTGTAATAAATCCATCATAATCGATAAACCTCCTATAGAAAAATCCGTGTGCGTAACCAAAGTTTTTCCTTTAGTTTCTATGCTCACGTCTTTCTTCCTTTTTTATAAACCATACATTTAATGTACTCAATTGAAAGCTTATTAACTAAGCTTTAAAATAAGTTCTGCCTTGCCGAACTGTGTCAATTTTTCACTAACTTATGAGTTTCAGACAAAAATTAAATTTTCATGTCCACTTGGGAAATTAACTTTGGTTGGATTTTTCGATGCTCCTAAGTGGACTAAGCAGGGATAGCTACGTATCATTTTGAAAAGCATTTACTATTCTTCGAAGTAGTATATGATAAATCTGGTGGAATTCAATTTTCATCATGCTATAGCAGATTGGTTCCATTTGTTACGTTATGTCACACCTTAAAAATGATAATTTTTGTCATTTATCGAGGCTTTAGACTTGACCAGCGGGGATATATCATGTGTCGATTTCAAGGTCTCATCGAGTTCTTGCAATTAAGACCCTATATTATCCATTCCATCCACTAGATCAATTATTATGAACGATAATATAGCGATTTTAGCATTTCACGTTTTGAAAATTTCCCTGTTTATCCTTCTAATGACCAGATTTCGTTCGGTTCCTGTTCAAATCTGTAGAAATATCTTATGCCCAGGTGAAAATATATTAAATTACCTTGAAATTGACCCTTGAATTATTTGATTAAGGTTAATGTTCCTTAACAGATGAGAGTTTTTTTCCAAAAATGGAATTTCATGATGTTTATTGTAAATTCAAGCTGAATTTGGATTTTCTATAACTATTCGTCAAGTGAATGAAACTATATATATACCATTTCAAAGGGTATTTGTTGTTATAGAACGTGAAAGTCAGGGGAATTAGAATTTGAAAAATGACATATATTGATCTCATGCAACCGGACCCCTAGGCGAAGCGCGCGTTCCGCCTGGTAAATTAAAAACAAGGAGTCCGATAATAATGTGCAGACAACAACTGAAGTAATACACCATTTTCAAATTTGCTGAAATTTCCAGAACACGTTTCACGAAACTTCGAACACCAGAATCTGATCAAAATCGAAAAGTAATAAAAAATCAGCTTTCAACGAAACCTGACCTTCAGGATTGTTGAGATTGTTGAGAACGGAACTAGGGGACCTTCAAGATTGTTGAGATATTCGAGGGATGCGGGATGTGCATGTGAGAAGCTTCTGTTGAATTCTTATATTGGGAGTTCAAGTATCCCTACGTTAACTATCAGTCCTACTTAAGTATCAATGGAAATGCTCGCTTGGCAACTTTAGCGGGACTTGGCATTAACTCTGCTATACTCAAACTCCAATTTTACAGTTTTACTTACACTTTTAACTAAGCAATTCGACATTTTTCATAAACATGGATATACGTGCACTGAAATTTCAGCTGATGAAACATGATGCTTTTGTGTAAAAAATTCATGACTTGCAAAACTTATCCCTCTCAGTAGTACCATGTAACAAAACTATCACAAAATGTGCGTTAATTTTGAAGGTCTCGACGGAATTACGACGAACAATTCCATAATTAGTCAAACAGTGTGCATTGCCTTGAACGGCTTCATTATTGCTGTACCGAATGAGAGGAGTCGTTTAAAATGGATCCAAATCTGTTCCAACTCGCGAAGCCTATAGTGGTTGTTGGAATTTGGAAATCAGTACACTTTGATGCAAACTGAAAATTCTTTAATTCGAGTAGAAGGATGAAAGTACTTCAATTGAAACAACGAAAGGTCTGAATGGCTGGGATTTGAAGACTGTAAAAATGTATTAAGTAAGGGTTTAATTGACATTTCAAAAATGTAATAAGAAAAACAGAATATTAATGATTCAATTGTGTAATTATTATTTAGATTTCGAATTAAAGATAAAGTATTTTTGCATATTATGACCGCGGAATGGCCCCGGAAAGTGGTTTTAATATTATCATTGAAGCTTTTGAACAACGTACCAAAGAAATGTCTGAAGGGATTTACGAAGGGCGTAAACTGTGCACTAGGGTAAACGCACCAGTGTTCTAACTTGTCCAGTGGTTAAATTAATTGATATAATTATCTATTTTTCTTTTTAAAAACCAATATAATGTTCATGAATTCAAAGAGACCTTGTGAAGCTTTCTCAAATGATTGAATCTTGGTCTTTCGATCATTAATATTTGACGACCCTTATTCGTTCGATCACTTAACAGTTCACCCTAGGAAAGGTTTTTAATTCCTTAGAAAATTATTGATTTAGAACATAATTTCATTCATAATTATTGATCTTGAGCCACTGTTCTATCACTTTTCCATTGAATGTAATGACTTCAAGTGAATTTTATAATCTCAAAGTGAATTGTGTTTTTTCAATTGAAAAATTTGAGTTTTGCATCGAAAAAGATGATTATTGATTCTAGAGATTTCAATATTTTGAATAAACGAAAGAGAATCTTCGAATTCGAAACAAACATACGTAAACAATTGACGATATAACTACCCAATGGAAAATATTCCAATCCTTCGTTTTCAATTTTAGGGTGATATGAACTTGAAATACAATTTGTATTTGAAACCAAAATTAATTATCTCGAAAATAAGCAGCGCTTGAGGAACAATGTTAGAAGACTTCCTTTTATTACTCCAAAAATCCTTTACAAAAAAGGACCCTCTAGATAAATCCTCCGGAATCCACTCATTACCGCAATAATACGTCAGTTCAAAATAGTGATGGATTATATACACACACACACACACACACAAATCGTCCCATCCACCGTCTCTACGAAAATATTCTCAAACCACAAAATTTGTTTATCATAAATAGGATGAGGTTAAACATCAGGGGGAGTAACTTACTTGTTGTAGACCATGTCCAGGCACTCAGGACGGCGTTTAGCGAGTGGAAGTAGTTTAATCTCCATTAGTTCTTCCTATAAATAAATTTTACAAAATATATAAAAAATGAGAAAAATCAGCAAAACATTTTTTATTTTGTCCATGGAGAATAGTCATTATCATCCCATTTATTTTTTAGTTTGAAAAATCTTATTGATTCCGCTCGCAAAAAAAAAATCGGTAACTTCAAAAAAATCTACACATTATCTTGAAAAGTAACAATTTCCGAGAAAATCATCTAAGACGACGTTTAGCGAGTGAGAGTAGATTAATCTCCATAAGTTCTTCCTATAAACGATTTAAAAAAATATATATGTATAAAATGAGCAAAAACAACAAGACAAAGTTTTATTTTGTCTATGGAAAGCAGTCATTAACATCCCATTTATTTTGTAGTTTAAAAAATCATATTTATTCCGGACGGAAAACATTAAAAACCGGTAACTCCAAAAATAATCTTCACATTATCTTGAAAAGAAGCAAGTTCCGAGAACATCATTCAAGTTTTTCTCCTTTGTTAGGCAATTTTCTAGATTACAAAAAGTTCTTTTTAAAATTTCCTCTAAATCCGCTAATTGCAGAAATATTCATGGAGAATGTTGCCCAAAATTATTGTACTCATCCCCCTGTCGTTTATCACTTCTGTACCCAGTTCTATTCATTTAATTTTCGCAGAAGTTCTATAAGTCGACTGTCTTTGTTATTGTTTTGAGGATACTTACCCGAGTGTATTGGAACTGAGGCCTGGATCTCCCGATTTCCATGATAGAAGTATCGGTCACCTCTCCGGCAACCGACATTGATATAATAGCTTCATCTCCTGCAAATTCAAAAATAAAATCAATACAAATAAGTTTTAAAGTATTGAAGTTGATGATCAACGATCATTTTCCAGTCTTCGAAATATATTTCCCTTTGACTGCACATGTTTCTACTTACTGAAAGTGACTTTTTTATTGGAATTAGCTGCCTTTTTCGTTCTGAACCATTTGCACGATTTTGTTTGCAATAAAAGAGTCGAGTCGAGAAATGGCGAACCCGTGGGGCCAACGAGGGGTCGTCGTCGACGCCGATAACGATGAGGGCCCGTTGTACTCTGAGTAGTCTCAAGTTTCATGATTTTTTAATAATTTAAACAACTGATATTCAACGACAAAACTCGACGGGATTTAATTCAACGAATGGAAGTAAAACAGTAATACAAAAATGGCGCTCGAATGGATATTCTGGACGCTAAACAGACGCTACTTTAATCTCTTTTGTCACTTGTTTACTCGAGAAGGACAAGGACGATAATTGACGCCAAGGTATCGAGCCACTGAACACAAACTCACGAAATAAAATGATAATTTAATAAAATTATACAATTCAAATTGATTAGAATCGTTTTATCCAATCACTATTTGAAAATTACTATTTGTTTATGAATGATTTTGATTTGTAAAAAAGGTTTTAGCGTTGGCTAGCAGATTTAGAGAGCTATCGAAGGATTAACAAACGAATTCACGACTGATTCACTCAACATATCGACTGCCGACTAAACTGTCGAGGCTCTTGACAATCCGGTGGATGAGTTTTCGGGGGTTTGATGATACCATTTCAAAAGAAAATCAACCTATGAGGAGAAATTCGAGGAACACGTGACCGGGGTTGACCTATTGAAATCGTTTGTTTTGGTTTTCGGTTGGTGGTCGAGGTATGAGTGAGGGGGAAGAAGAATATAGTACTTTGGTAGAAAATCGCGATTAAAGATATCTAAGTATCTTTCACACTTTGGTACAGACCACATTATAGATTCAGCCATTTTCAATCATCAAATTTGTCAATTAAATTGCTTGAGAAAATTTTAGAAAAAAAAACATGAAAATTCAGCGTCACTAAAATTGGATTTTGCATAGAATTATTATTATTTTTTAAACATGTGTCGTTTAAAAATAAATAATTGAAATTGTGTAAACTTTCGGAAACCTTATTTTTTAAGGATGGAGGCGATTTCCGGTAAAATTATGAATAATACATTTTTACGATTCCGAACAAATTATTTTTATGGTGGACAATTGATTGTTTATAAGTTATTTATAGAAAATGCTCGTAATCTTCAAAAATTGCAACTTTTTCATTATTTCATGAATCTTCCTCCAAAAGTAATCTTCTAATTTTTTTTTAGATCTTTAAAATGTTTTTCAACGGTTCAATATCGAGATTCAAATTCAGATCTACAAAGTTTAAATAATAAAATCGTTGTAAAATATGCGGAAACTTAGGGCCAAATGGGGCTCAAATGAAAGCTCTGATGTTCCACTACAAAAGTAGAAAGGCATTTCACTGGAGAAAAAATAGCCAAAGTACTTGGATATCAAAGGAAGGGAGTGAGAAATTGATTTTTCTAACCAAGAAAATAAGAAGAAAGAAGTTCACTGTAGAAGCTGAATTGCTGATATCTCAAAGATATTAGAGTTTTAGAGGAGTGCATTCCGAGTTTTTATGTTGGATATTTCCTGGGCAAAATCGATTACTTGACGTATTTTGCAGGATGCTACGTGTGTACGATTTTTTAATCTCGTAGGAAATTTGGTAGAAAATCACGATTGCAGGGAGGGAGTGAGAAATTCGGTTTTCTAACAAAGAATATAAAATAAAAAATTGATATGAAACCTGAGTTGCCAATATCTGAGAAATCAGTTTTACTAGAATGAACGTTTTTATGCGTGATATTTCATGAGCAACAAAATTGATTCGTCGATGTATTTTTCAGGACAATGGGTTTGTATGAATCTCGGTGGAAGTTTATGTAGAGTGTTTAACCTATATCTTGGAAATGGTTGTCTATCTCAGAAATTCATCAAAAAATTATCTTGTAGAAATAATTTGAGATCACATCAAAAAGTGTCATAGATATGAGTCAAATAATGATCATCGAAATCTTGCGCTTGTGAATTTTCTCATATTCCTCCATCATTGATCCTTCTTTTATCATAACAAAAATCATAAACTGTAAAATTCTGATTTATTTTCACAATACTGATGTCAAAGCGATCTCACGAAACAAAACAATTCACGTCCAAATGAAAAAATGTAAAAAATTTCAATTATAAACCGATCAATTGTTGTATTTTGAACATAGAAGAGGTTACTTTCCTCTTTGAACCCACCACAGCTGTCGAAGTGATGACTAAAAAAGTGATCAATTTTGAAAAGTGAAAATAAATTCTAACAAGGAGTAGAAAGCATGTAGTTTCCAGGTAGGGCTCGAAGATTATACCGAAAAATAAGAAAAAACTAAGAGATACTTACCCTCTCTTATAGGATCCGGCTCCTCGGGCCTGTCACTCGACACAGATTCCAGAGACATCCTCGTTCCTCTTTTCCGTTCACTTCTTCAGGATAATTCACGCGCAAACTCTCGTACTTTCCCTCTCTCCCTCAATTACCCCGAAAAATCCTCTTCCCTCGCACTCTTTCTTCTCGTTCACAATTCCCTCCAAACAAACCTCCAATTTACTCCAAGAAAGCCCCCAACATGAAATAATCCGTTTCAACTGATAAAAAAAATACCGTAAAATTGTTTGCCAAAATGTCCCCTCTGGTGCCCTCTTGTAGGCCAAACCGTGCACACGTAATATAATGTTTTGTCGACTTCTTTTTTTTTCGTTAAAATCTACCTATACATTTTATTACCGTTTAATATCACAGACTGGAGAATTTTCACGTATTTTCAGTCCCTCACTGTGACGTCGAACGCCCCACAAAGAACAAACCGAAAAAATTAAAGAAAAAAAAACAGAAAAAAGGGAGAAAAATAAATGTAGAGAGTTCGAGATTTTTCTTGGACACGAAGTAAAAGATAAAAATCACAAACTCATTCCTTTTGCCTCTCGGGCTGCCTCTGCGATGTCCAAGTTATTTCCTGAATATTTTTCCTGTCCCAAATCTTTAAATCCACCTCTTTGGCACTTTCCTATCTCTCTATTCCGATATTGTACTCTGATTGATTAGTCGTTGAAATCGAGTAAATTACACCCCAATTTGTAACAAATAGGCAGAAATTTTCTGAGATTTTTTTATGTCCACAACTGCACTGATCACACTAGAGCTCACACAACACCAATCGTCGTCGATTAATTAACGATGAGAGGCCTCAATGTTTCTTCAATTGTTAATGATTAAAATCGTTGAATGTTATTTTTCACACAAGTGTTAGTGTTTATGTCGTTAAGAGATAAATAATGGAGAGAGGACGGCCCAAAAAAATGAAAACTCGCTTTTATTCACGCGCGGCAACGCGGACTGTAGACGGGTCCGTGAGCTACGTCGATCATTTCGTTGCACGCGTTGCCGATAATCATTTCTAATATTCTGTTTGTCCTCGGGTTTCTTATAAGTTTCAATATTAAATACGACGTTGACTTGTTTTTCTTATTTTTTCTTTGAGAAAAAAATAAATTATTTGCTCACTAGAAGTTGATTTACGTTTCTTTTTCTCCTTTTGTTTGAAATTCTTTATCACATTGAATTGTACACACACAACACCTAGTGTTACTGCTACGCAAAAATAGAAAATGGCGCACGATTTATCCCTACTTCCACCGCTTGTTTCTTCGGTGCCTTCTGCGGAGAGACCGGAGAGACAGTTTTCATAGGGCACACACACTAGAGAAAAGTCGGTGTTTTTTCGCGATTGGGAGTGGTGGAGCGACATCTGGATAAAGATGGTGGCTAGCAGAAGTCGGCGAAGATTGACGAAAGTTGTGCGCGGGGATTTGTCGGAGATTTGAATATATCTGAAGAGAAATCACTGGTTGCATAGAAAAAATACAGTCGAAAAGAAATTTCCACAAAAAATCAATCATGGAAATTTCAAAGTTTACGGAAATCCGAAAACTTTCCCTCTTTCTAGGGGCAAATAGGGCGGAATCGACACTTTAAACGTTTTTTCAGATATTAATGACTCATCGAACTATTAATTAAAGGGAAGAATTTTTTTATGAGCAGTATAAGTCTTTCTCTGTTTCCTTTTTCATTTTCCCCTCATCCAGCTGTTTCACTTTTATACTTTTCCTTTTTCAGCTCCATTTTCCTTTATTGCGAGCCCCGGGGAAAAATTCATTTTCGTTCATGAATATTTTCACTTCTTGCTGTATGCTTTATGTGATTGTTTTATGATTTTCACTGTTTTCCGATGTCTCGTGCATTGGTATCAGCTCGCATTTTGCTTTATTGTGTTTCAGTTAGAGATGCAAATGCATCACATGACCCGTTAGGCATTTATGTCGGCTATCACATTCCCCTCCCCCTCCTCTATGACCATCACAATTTTCCAAAAAATATGATAGTCATTTTTCATCTATATAGATACAACTGTATCAATTTTTATTTGAATTTATTTCGTATTGGCCGAATGTGTATTTTGAAATGAAAATCACGCTCATTTTTTCATCTCTACAGATGAATAGTATTTTTCCGGCCTGTTCCGATGGGGTTTTTTACTCGTGTGGATGGCCAGTCCTCGCCTACGGCTCGGAGGCTAACGCCATCACTTCTTGGGGTTTTTTTACGGCTCGGAGGCCAACGCCACACGAGTAAAAAAACCCCATCGCAACAGTCCAAGAATAATATTTTTCTGTAGTGATTTTCAAGTTTTCGAGTTTGGGAAGTATGTAATACCAATTCCCAGACGAGAAATCGTGAGAAGCAGTACAGAAAACTATTTTTTTCATTTATGACTGTCATTATGCATCTATATAGATATTTTGACAACAATTTGCTTCCAAATTTTTGGTGACCATCATTTTTAGTCAAAACATTTGTGTCACATGATCATCACAATACCGTCATTTTTGGTCATATGACGCGGTATCAGTGTCTTGTTATGCTTAAACGACTTATAGTAATTCCATGCTCACACCTTTTTTGTGTTTTGCTGTTCCTTGCTTTATGACTTATGTCATGTTTACTTTGTACAAATAATGTACAGTTGATAAACTTAAATCAATCAATCAATCAATTTCATGAGTTTCACCGGGCTGAATTGATAAATTTGTTTCGAGTTATGGACATTGAAAAAAATCAAAGGCGACCAGTTCGTCCCACCCTCCCCTATAGTCGTACCTTCGTTCAGAAATCACGATGTCGTTAAGATCCGGAAGACTCTTTTGTGGAAATTTCCTCAACTACAAGAAATATTATAGGACATTTGAGGCAGACACCACTCGGACGTAATTCCATGAGTATAATGATAAATTTTCATACGATACATATCAAGAGTTGATCTTTTGTAAATGCGGGGTGCAAGTAAAGCCAAAAATGCTCTCGCATATTGGCAGCTTTTTTTGTGTAAAGTGTAATGTTAAACTCTGGGAATTTGTTAGTAATGTCAACTGCTAACAACTTGGTCAAATGAGGAATATAAGCAGCGGGGGTCCCACCCTCGCGGCTAGAACGTGCATAGTGCAGGTCTAGAGCTTGCCATTCTTACGGAGTTCCTGCCCTTAATACTCATCAAATTTATTATCTCGCGCTACGCGCTCGTGATTTTTCCTGAGAAACTTGACTCCTTCATTTGTTTGCAACGAAC